TAACCACGTTTCCTTGCCAGTTGCATCATTATTAAAACAAACTCTCATCCGATTTTTAACCACGATTGTTTCAAGTCTCTGTCATTCATAGCTATTCTTTTACTTTAATTCTTCTCTAAAAGCATTTGCCATTAGTTGCAGTCCAAGATTACTTCTTCAAGAAAAAAAAAAAAATCATGGCAAACACTCTGACAAGCACTCTGAAATACTGGTTTCTGACAACTTTAAGATGCCACTGGGCTGAGTAAGAATTTCCAGAACTCTAATGAAGAAACCAATGAGTTCATAAGATTGCTAACTAAGATCACGCAGGACAGAATTAAGTACATGGGACTAAATCCACCGATGAGGATATTTTAAAATGATTTTTTTGCTGGAAATATTGGTGGTTCTTTAAATTTTTTGTTTTAATTGATTTAAGATTTTTTTACCCTATCTATAGTTTACAGAAGTTCAGTAAAGTATACTTTTGTGAATAAAAACTGAAACAATTACTTTTTCTACTTACCTGATCCATCTAGAATTCAGAAACCGAGTATTCTTATTTTTGTGGCAATACAGTTATTTGCATAAGTTCGGTAAGAATCTGTTGTCCTTGTACTAAGACAACTAGAAACGCTGGTTATATGGCCAAGGCTTTGACTGGTATGTCATATTTTCAGATATGACTAGACAACTTTAAGAAACTGAGGTTGACCTTACGGGGCCAATAAAACCCCACTGGAAAAGCTGCCCCGTTTCCAGCATTACCAGTGGTAAGGGATGTCACTTCTTGGCAGGCCCAGGAAACAGGATATTTTGGGAACCTTGAGAAGAGAGAATTTGCCCAAATCTATAGGTGCTACACATGCAGCCTGAAGCAAGGCCTTGGTGTGGCTTCGCAGCCTCCAGAGTCTTTACCAGTCCGATCTGAGACTCTTTATCAAAAGTCCCAGCAAAGCAAACTTTAAAAAGCTTGTCAGTCACTATTCTTGTTGCGGTGACACAAATAATCAAGACAAGTGTATGAGACTAAACTTATTTTGCAAACAAATCTGTCTAACTTTGATTATTTTGTTTAGAAATGAAGGTGATTTGAGAGAGGAAAATTATGTTTCAGGAGAAAACTATAGTGCACCCACTGTTAGATTCTGGCCTCTTCGAGGTTTTGCTACCTACCTGCAACCTGAAATGGATCCTGAATTCTTCTTGTTTCCTCCAACATCTGACTGCGACTTTCCAAACTATTATTTCCCATTTTCTTCCATTCTTCAAATTTGGAATTGTTGCCTCTTTGCTGAAGTCTTGCAAGCTGGAGCTGGATGACTTGATATAAACCTCAGCAGCTCATATGGACAACTTTCATGGCATTCAAACTGCAAACCAGGGAGCTCTGTCGTTTATAACGGCCTGCTCCCCTCCAGCCAAAGGTGCATCAGCCCAGCATCTAGAAAGCTTCTGCACTGCCTGCCCTCTGGGCTCAGAATCGGAGTTCATAGTTTGTTCCAACTATTTTTCTTTTTATTTTTGTAGAAACTAAATTCCCCTCACTAAAGGCCTGATGCCTCACACCATCCAGCTGAACCCCTCTACCACCAAGCCCTGGCGGGTGACTCTGCTGGTCCTTACTGAACAAAAGGCAACCAAATAAGAAAGGGAACTTTTATTTTTCAAAAGAAAGAAGAGAGCAAAGGTGTAAAGATTCTCTGACCAACCGTTAGTTGGGTTTCGGAACCTTCTTCTAGGCCCGTCTGTGTACATCCTTGTAAAGTGACATTTTCAGAAAGAATCCTGCAAAGTCAGTTTAGCAAGAGCCCATCCCCCCCCTTCTTGATTTCTGATCACCTTGATATTTTTTCACCCTCAAGATCTGATTGGGTCCCTCATCCTCCACCATCCCCAGGTGATGGCGGTCACCCTGGCCTGCCTGCAACAAGAACCCTGTTAGGTGGCTTTAGCCAGAATCCCCTGACCCTGAGGCTTCCTCTTGGTAACTCTCCACCCACTGACCCCAGCCCACGCCTTGGCTGTGAAGTCTTGCTGCCCGTGTGGTGTTTGGAGCTGAGCCCTGCTAGGGTTTGAGTATTGGACTCTGCAAACCTCATGTTGAAATCTGATGCCCGCTGTTGGAGGTGGGGCCTAATGGGAGGTTTTGGGGTCATGGGGGTGGATCCCTCATGAATAGGTTAATGCTCTGGGGTAGGGGACAAGTTCTTATTCTGGCAGTTCCCATGAAAGCTGGTTGTTGAAAAGAGCCCGGCCCTCCCTCCATGCCATCTCCTGCTTCCTCTCTCTCCATCTGAGCTCTGCACTGCACACACACGGGGCCTCCCCAGATGCAGACACTGGCGTCATGCTTGTTATACGGCCTGCAGAGCTGTGAGCCAAAACCCTCGTTTCTTTATAAATTACCAGCCTCAGGTGTTCCTTCATAGCGATGCGAAATGGACAGAGATGAGCCCAGTCTCCCTCCCCTACTGCAAAATCGCTCCGCGCTCTCCCTGTACCAGTTGCCCTGGTCCTGAATCAAGTCTTCCTTCCTGTGCTTTAGCAAGTGTCATTCAATATTTGATTCTTCAACACCAAGCCCCTCTAGTTGGAGGGCGCTGCTTAGGCGTTACTTGATTTTGGGCTGAGCCGACTCCGCTGTCCTCTGTCTCTCTGTTGCCGGCGGAGACAGCCGAGGGCAGGATGGACGGTCGGCCGCTGCACCACGCCCCGGGGTGCCTGCCTCTCTGGTCACAGTTTGAATACTCCCGCTGCATTTTCCTGCCAGGTGGAGGGTGTGACTGTGAGGCTGGTGGGGACGAGGTCTCCCTTCCCACCAAGGACCGAAGGGCAGTCCTTAGACGGAATCGGAGCCCTAGATGAGAAACATTGTGAGCCTCACTGGGTCAGCGCCCGTTGTTAGCTTCCAGGACTGAGAATGGGGAGGAAGGGGGCATCTCCCACCCCAGGGTGCCCCATCCAGGTGGTGCCAGTGCACGGAGGGGCACTGAGGGCGTGTGTGGCATGGATGTGACCTGAGGCTCCTTACTGAGACTGTTTAATCCTGTTTTAAAGATGAAACCTCAGTGACAGCCTGGCCCTTTGTACACATCTAATGCTGCAGATAAAGTGGCAACATGACCTGGAGTTCCAGGAAACGCCCACGCTTTGTTTCAGCATCTAAGTACCTGTCCAGTGGCTTAGGAAACAAAAAGACGGATGGAGACAATTGTTTCTCCTCCCCAAATAAAGACCACCGGGATGTGAAATCAGAAGTTTAATATGACACAATTAAATATATTTATATATCTCACACCGGAGGTTTCTCTTCAAACATAAGGAGTTAGAAATTACAAGTAGGTATATGCTTCCTATATTCAGATAAATTCATTTCTATTAATTAAATTCCAGATAAAGAGAAGTAATTTTGGAAAAGAAATGATAGCTACATTAAAGCAGATATTCATTACAATACCATGTAGAGACATAAGCAATATTTCGGCATCATTCTGTCCGCTCAGTAGGCCGCGTTCCCTCTGGTGCGGCCTTTGGAGAGTACAATCTATCTAAGATGGAGGAAAGCCGCGGGACGGGCCGGAGGGAGATGCGTTTTCTATCCTTAACCCCACACAGGAAATCTGCAGCCCACACAGCTGCCTCTGCACCGCCTTCCCTGTGATTGTCCTGGGTTTCATGAAGTGGATTGTCCTATTTCCGGGGTAGGGGGTGATCCTGGGTTTAATGAAGTGG